TGAGACTCGGGCTACTCCCATCGGGATTTCCCATTCGATCCCTTCGTTGTCGGGTTCGAACCCGTAGGTGTCGCTATAGTGCATGTATCCGATCTTCGCACCTCTTCGGAGTATCTGGTTGTACTCGGTCGCGTTCTGGACCTTGATCCATGCGGTATCGCAAGTTGGTCGGATCTCGATCGTGTCTTTGATCGGCCGAACTCCGGAGTGCTTTCGCCGGAAGGATTCAAAATGGATATCCCGGTGAGGGGCCATGCTCTTAAGGGTTCGTACCAGTACGGCGCAGGTTGAGAAGGGTGATAGGGTGCACTTGTTTTCGACAAAAACGGGTTGTCGGTCTTCGTCCTTATCCTCGGTATGAAGCTCAAGACGATTGACGGTTGGGCCTGTTGCTATTGGCTTCGGCCTCCGTACCCGTTTCCATGGGTTATAGACGGTGCTCTCGGACTTAGTCTGTCGAACCGAGGCTCTCTTCGGTTTAGCCGAGGCTCCGTCAGGACTTATATTTTTGTCGGGCTCAACGGGGTTACCTCCGACGAATGTCGCCTGTTGGGCAATCTGTGCGTCGTCGGTCTGAGATACCCGTTGTCCCGCCACACAAACGTCGTACGTGGGGCTTCCTTCCGAGGATTCAGCTTCGGAGGTATTAGGGTGATATTCTTGGCCCGTATCGCTGGACGTAGCCGAGGTTACTGGGCTGTCAGCCGGGTGAGAAACCGTAATTGCGGTTAACTCAGCCCGCCGTTGGCCCGAGCCTCCGTTCTGAGGTTGCTGGGCTTCCTTTGAGGGTTCGTTACCGGACGATCCACCTTTTGGGGGTTTGTCCGGGGGTGTGTCGATTCCCATCCATCGAACCGAAGGGTCGAAGCCGATATCGTTATCATCGTCGTCATCGGAAGTATCCGATGAGTTGCCTTCTGAAGGGTCTGATGGCTCATTATCGGAGTCTGTGTCCGGTGAATCGCTTGTGCTCTGTACATCCGAGGCTTCCGAATCCCAATCTTCGAATTCATTGGCTTCGCCTTCATCCGCTGTTACAGCGGATAGTCCAAGTAGACCGTCAGTGACCCTAATTGGGGTCTGCTGAGTCGGTCCTTCCCACCATCCCGGTTCGGGAGGTCCGGATGATGGTGGCCTACCATGCTCCCAGATTTCTTCGTCCCGAGTTCTGAGGGCTTGGACGATCGCTCCATTATTGTCGTGGCAGATCGGGCATTCCAAGGCCATATACTGTTGATCCGGGGCATGTTCCCGTATGTTAGCTAGGCGGCCCCCATTTTGTGGGTGCACCGCCCCTGCTAACCTTACTTTCTTAGCCTGGTGCCAGTTACAAGGCTCGATCGGAGGTTCGGAGTCCGGCACGACCCTAGTTGTGCGGATGTCTTCGCCGTATCGACTCCAAAAGGAGGCTGTGTCCAGGGTACCGAAGTGGTAGGGATCCCGGAAATGCCACATAAGGCGTCGGCCCAATTCATGGGACTGGACTTCCAGTATCGCCGGTATGGGGAGCTGGTGTTCCACGAATTGTGCGTGGAGTACAATTCGCTCTTCTTCCCACTCGATGATTTCCTCTTCTAAGGCTTCCGTTAGGTCGATTACCTCTTGGCATTCCTCTCTTGCGGCTCGGATCTGGTCGTCCGTCCTTGCACCAACTCGTTCGAGTGCGGTTCTGATGCCGACCGTTCGGGTTTCGAGGAGGTGACGAATGCCGGTAAACCAGGTTCGGTACCTTTGGTTGAGTATACCAGAGGCTGATGCCTCTGGTATCGGAATAGACTTTAGTATCCCTCGGACTGGTTCCAATCGGGACGTCCGTACTTTCGCCAAGTATTGTTCGATGGCGTTATGAATTTGCAGCTCCGTTACGAGGCTTCGTTCGGTGTCCGAGCATTGTGGGCAGATCGGGGGTCCGGGGTTTATCGGTTGCGCAAGCCGATTTATCCGAGCCTCACTCGCTGCCGTGCCCGATGCCTCTGGTATCGGAATAGGCTGCACTACACCCGAAGGTGGGTTCCGCTGACCCTCATTGGGGGTCATTGGCGCCCGGGTGAAGACAAACTTGGAATGCAGGTAGTCGCATCCAAGAAGTACGGGAACGTCCGAGTTATTAGGTTGGACGTGAAAGGTATGGGGGCTGGTGAATCCTTGCAGGGTTACCGGTACGGTACAGCAATGGGTTACCATAAAGGCGACTTGTCCGCCGACACCGAGTATTTTGGTGAAGTACCCCAAAGGTTCAAGTTTAAGGTTGTTGGCCCGGCAGAAACGCTCCTCTATTAGGGATGTTTCGGCTCCGGTGTCCAACATAGCCATGGTTGTGGCTGGTCCAATCTGAACTTCATGTGTCCATGCTCGGACTACCTTCGGTCGTCCGGTGGTCTGTAACGGTTCAATCGTTACTTCCCTGATGGTCACTTCGACCGGGATTAAAGGTATCGTTGGTCCGCCGGGGACACTATTGGTGTCTACACGCGGCGGTGATGAGATTCAGGACGACCTCGGTGGATCTACTCCGTCTTGTGGGTAGCCATCCGAGGGTCGGTGTGGAGTTAGCCGTTTTGCCGGGGCTGATAAGCCTGGTAGCCCGGGTGGAACTTCCTTAACCGAGTGATCCGCCTCCGGTCGGTTAGCTACTCCGTCCATTAGCGATTCGGCGGTTTCCACCGGGTATGTCCGGCTTGCTATCCGTTCTTCCATGGATGGTTGACCCTCCCGTAAGGTTGAGAGGTTATACTGCATCTTGAAGAACGTACGCGATCCGGTTACCGTTCTGGCCGGTTGTCGCTGGAAGAGGTCCGCTTCAAGCTTCGTCCGCCGCACCTGTGCCTCCAAAGGTACTGATTCCCAGTCTTCGAAGTACTCCGTTACTTCGTCGGTCGGAGCCTCCGGCCGTCTACTTGGCTGGCCTACCAAGGGCGGTTCAGGCGTCATTCTGGCGTCCTGTGAGATTGCGGGTCGGCGTCCCGATTCTCCGCTTAGCCCGTGGCTCGTAATGCCTAATTGGGCACTGAGCCGTCCGGGCGGCCTGGTGACGTTTCTCGTCCCGGCTGGTCGGATCCCGTTTCTCCGGCCGACATCCCCGGCTTCACCTTCTGGGCCTGGGGGTCCGGGCACATTCTGTGTCCCGGCTGCCGATCGGGTCCAAGTTCCTTGGCCGATCCTCCCAGGTACCTGTTCTGGTCCCTGAGCCGCATTATCGGCGTGGCGAGGTTCGGGTCGACTCTCCGAGTATCCGAACCGGGGATGTTCGGCGCCTAGTTGGGCTACCGTCCCCCCCGCTAAGATTCTAGCGGCCTCGCTGACCGTTGCGGAGGCTAAATCCTCGTTGAGGTTCCGAGTTGTGTCCAAATAGTTAATCCGGTTAGTGAGGTTATCCTTATCCGGTGGTTCCGTTGGATGACAGAGGTCGAATGAGTCATCGGAGCTCATCGACCTTAGGCGTTTCCCTGGGATGTACCCGGGACGGGTCCGCCAACTGACGGTTGGAATCCGCCCGGGCCCCTATTGGGGGCCGGGGACGGCGGCAGTTGCGGCCGTTGGGCTGGTGGTGGTGTTGCCAATGGGGGTCGACCGCCATTCTGGGGGTTCCCTCCATTTCCCTGGCCAGGCTGCCGGTTAGGGCTGCCTTGGCCGCCGAATTCGCCGGCATTCTGCTGACGGGGGCGCGGGGGTGGTACGATGTTCGGGAAGTTCTGATTCGCCGACCCTAATGGCCATCCGTTATCGTACCGGTACCTCCAGTCCAGGTACCATCTCCGGTTTGGATTGTCTTCCAGCCGGAGGTTGGCATAGCCACAACTCGCTTGGTTGTGGTTGCCCCATAGGCAGTGACCGCAGGAAAGCGTTCCGTCCTGGGTCCACTAAAAGAACTTGGCTTCCATCCGATCGACATAGGTTGCCTGCTGGCGAGCCTCCTGCTGTGGTGTCCGGGGCTGCCTTTGCACATTCTGAGCTGGGCCACCTCCACCCACGCGATTGCCGAAGTTTCCGCGGCCGCGATTCCCGCCGCCACGTCTTCCGCCGGAGCCATCGTATTGCGAGGCTCCACCGCGTGCATATCCGCCTCCTTAGCCGTACCCCTGATTCTGAGGTTGGCCGTAACTGGAGTTCTGGCCGTAGCCCTGTTGGGGCTGGCCATAGCCGGGACTCCGAAGCTGGCTGTAGCCCTGTTGGGGCTGGCCATAGCCGGAGTATCCCTGGCTCTGAGGTTGGCCGTAGCCGGGGCTCCGAGGCTGACTCGGTTGGCCGCTATTTCCATAGGCCGGCGGCGTGACCATGGTCCCTGTTGGGGCTCCATTCAGGTTCAACGCCGCCATCGCCGCCCAAGTCTGTTCGATCTGACCACGGGCTTGAGGGGGTGGTGTCGCCGGAGGGCTCTGTCGGTGAAGCCCCGGTTGCACGTTCTGGTAACCTGGCGAATTGGGTTGGATGTATCCGGGAGCCGGTTGGGTCACAGGGACAGGCGTCGTCGTTCTGACGGTGATGTAGTTGGTGGTATTGCCACCTTTAACTACCTGATACATCGGCTTCCCCGGGTGAAGTCCCGAACCTAGTCCCGGAACTCCCGTGTCGTCTTCGGCATCCTCACGTCCAAGGCTGCTCGAAGGATCGGTTCCGTTACGTTCGTCCTCAGATAGAAGACCGCTAGTTCATCGGTAAGGTTGCCTCGTTGTTTGAGGTTTATAATGGCGTCGTAGTACTGCTCGGGGGTCTCTTGCCCCAGCATGTACTTCCTGGTAGTGATGTCCGCGACAGCCGTGACCTGTTTGCCAGGGTCCATAAACCGGGCCGCAAATTCCTGCAGCCAGTAGTCGACGGTCCATCCGTTCTCTTCAGGTTCCAGAGCTGACTGGTTCTGGTACCATTCCAGGGCTTGTCCAGTAAGGGCGCCCTCCAGCTCCGTCATGAAGGCGACGTTTGTCATTGCGACATCGTCAGCCTCCGAGCGATAGATTCGCCGGATCTTTGTGATCCAACCTTCCACCTTAGCCCCGTCGCCGTTAAATTTCGGCAACTCCGCTCGGTTTTTTTCGAGCCAGGATCCGGTTATTCCGTTCCTCGTAACGGCGCCGGCCTTCTTCGTAGCCTTCAAGTCGGGCTTGGGCGATGTCTTGCTCATCGGGTGGTGGGGTTTGACGGGGTTGGGCCACCGGCGCTGCCTGTTGGGATACCGGAGGGTTCCAACCTATTGGATAGGCCGCTTGCTGGTTCTGCGCAGCCGGGGCGGGTTGAGGTGGGTACGGCTGTGGTTGAGGATAAGGGTTGCCAGGGGGTGCCGGCTGTTGCGGCTGTCCCGGTCCGGGCGGAGGATTCTGCGCTCCGTTCCCCTGGTTCGGCGGTTGGTTCGGTGCCACATACCCAGGTATCCGTTGGAGGACTCGGTTCTGATCGAGCCACATCCCTGGTGGTATAACCACGTATTGGTCAGCCTGTGGTGCCGGACCTATTGGGTCCATGTTGCCTTGCTGGGGCTGATAGGGGACATTGCCAACAGCGCCGGGGCCAGCCAGATTTATTGGGTCACGGTTATCTAGCCGAGGCTGCTGTGGTGCGTTATCTGGATAGCCGGGGCGTACCGGGTCAGCCCAGTTGCGCTGCCCTGCCGATACAGGTTGTACTTCGATCCTCGGCGGGTACGTGTTCTGGGAGCCCGAACGTTGTCGGTCCCGGTTGGAATTTCCCGAATTGGGTTGAGAGCTTCCCGCTGAAGCGTTCGTCGGCGGTCGAAGTCCCATGCCAGGTCCGGTTACCGGGGCTCGGAGGTTCGTGCCTCGGGGCTGGTCTTGTCCGGTTGAAGTCGATGCTACAGGCCTAGTTCCGGTTGAGAACATCGTCGTTGTGGATGTTCCTCCGTAGGCCGTAGTTGTTGTGGTAGTGGAATGGGTCGGTGCGTTGGGGTTGGCCGTCGAAGTATTTTGCTCCGGCTCCGGGGCTGACGGTACCATCGGCGGCCTGGGTCCCACCGACGGTTCAGCCCGCAGCATTCCGACGTGATAGATTTGTCCCTCGAGAGCCCCCGTTTGACCTGTTGGGTTCAGCAGGGGGTTGTCTCGGCGCAGGTAGTCATTAATCTGTTGACATTTATCCTGCTCTTGGGCAGTCCGGGAGGATGGAGGTTGCTCCGTCATAGAGTCCTCGAGGTAGGTCTTCTCCTCCTTCAGGCACGCGACCTCGATGCCCAGGTTTTCTCTTTCCTGGACCAGCTGGTTGTGCTTTTCGCACAGGTCGTTGTACTTGTTGGATACATCCGTGCCGAAGTCATAAAGTTCCTGTTGGTACTTTAGGAGACGGTCCTTGTCCGTCTCCCACTGGGTCTTCTCGGACTCTAACTGTGTGATCCGGGCCCGTTGAGCCTCGATGACTGCGAGATTCTCAACGCGAGCGTGTTCGAACCGGGCTGTTTCGTTCTGGAGATGGGTGGTAAGGGCAAAAATCTGCTGGCCAAGTTGGGCCTGGCATAGCCGAAGGTCTACGGCTACACCCTCCGGGCCATTCTGATTCTGCCGGAGGTTCTCGTAGGCTGTCCGGAGGAAGTCGAGTTCCGAATTTAGTTCGTCGATCTCTCCCTCCAGGCCGATGATGCCCTGTTTGAGGTGGTGGTTCTCCTCGCGGTACTCATCCACCCGGCCGAACATGTTGTGAAGCTCAGCCGAGCCAGCCTCGGAGTAGCCGAGGGCCTGTAACCGCTGCTCCAAGTCCTGGCGCAGGGTGGCCACTTCGGCCTGAGACTGCTCCAGCATGTCCTGGAGTCTAGTGACTTCGGCTTGGTCATGACGGCAGGGCTCCTCAGTTACTTGCAACTGGGCCTCTAACCGTTCGATCTCCTGGGTAAGGTCATCAATGACGGTGTTCGCACGTTCGAGTTCGTCAGTGAGCCTCTTGCGCTCCTGCTTGTGCGAAGCTACCGTCTGGGACAAAACATTCTCCGTCGATTCGACGATGTTTTGCCCGGCCAAGAGCTGGTTTTGCAGCTCGTATATCCGTTGACGGAGGAACTGTGGGTTGTCGATCTTCTCCGGAGGGGTCTTGGTCAGGTACCGTCGGGGTGTGTAGTCCGAGGCTCCGATGTGTGAGCCTGGGTGCTGCTTCGGTGACGGAAACCTGTAGCCCTTTCTGCTGTCCGGACGCTCGGTTACCTTATTGGGTAACACGGTTGCGTCGAAGACGTCATCGGTCGGTGATGGGGTTTTGCTGGCCCCGGGGTTCGAGGGTTCGAACATCGGTGGTGTAGCCGGAAGGTCCATGGTTGGCTTTGCAACCTTTGGTGAAGCCGATTTCGACTTACGGGCGGCCTGTGAGGCTTTGATCCGGCTGGCTCGGGTCAGCATTGGTTCGCTGCCGGGGGTTGTGGGTTTCGGGGATGACGGTCCGCCAGCCGAGGTTAAGTTAACCTCGGTAACCGAACCCTCAACCTCGTCCACGGAGGTTGCAACCGACGAAATCCGGAATTTTACCGGAGAAACGGCTTTTTTAGCCGAGGAGGTGGGGGTTGCCGGCCGGGTTTTGGATGTTCCGACCTGTTGGGTCGGAGTCCGAGGCCCGGTGTTGGGGGCCCGAGCCTCGGGGTCCGAGGCTCTAACCGACTGCAACCTCCCTGACAGTGATTTGGATGTCCCCGAGGTCGGCTTCGATGAGTTCGAAGTCCGAGTTGGAGTCCCAGTGAGGGTCCTCGCGTCCGATGTGGTCGCCTTCGGAGTCCCGTAGGGTCGTTTCGGGTCCGGCGGCGTCGATTTCAGACTGTTGTCCGAAGATTTAGGGTTGTTGCCCGTTGGTTTGGGGCTTCGAGCCAGGGTCGGTGGGGACTTAGTCGGTGAACCCGTCTTGTGGGTCACCCCCCGTGTCGGTGATGCCGTACCCTTCATTTGGCTCGGGCTCATCTGGCTTGCCTCGGTTTTGATCCCGCCATGCTGCCCTGTTGGGGCTGCACAGGGTCACCCATGTCCGGTGACACCTCGGAGCTACTTAGCACCGGGCTCGAGGCTTTGTTGTCCGGGGTTATGGCCGGAAAGAAGACTGGCGAGGCACATATTGGGTGCACAAGTCCAGCCGCGGGCTCGGAGTTCGCAGTTTGACCTACTGGGTCATGCAGAACCTCCGGCTCAGCCTGTGGTAGCTCGAGGAACGTCCGGTCGTGTGCGTCCTCGAAGCTATCCTCCGGCGATTGAGTGAAGTCGTTCGCCAGGATCCGCGCATCTCGCTTCTCCTTAGTTGATTTGGTCGACTGGTTCGATTTGCCGGACTTGCTCGATCGGTTGGAGTCCGACGAGTGAGGCTCGTTGCCCGGGCCGGCATGACGGAAGGTGCACCCGCCTGCGTTTTCCCTTCGGGCGTAGCCTTGGTCGAACTTCCGTTCGTACGGGTTCGATCGGTCGGACATCTACGGTGGTAGCTCTATTGAAGCTGTGAAGTAGCCTCCGGGTTGTCCCTTCGGCCAAAAAGTCAGACTATTCCTATTGGGGACTTGTCCGAGGCTGATGAGGCTTTTTGCCTGTTGAAGGTCCGAGGGTCCCGTGGGGGGGGGGGGCTAAGGTCCGGTGGGGGCAGAGGTCCGGTGGGGTGAGGGGTGTTGGTGTGGGTGTGCTTGTACTACTTGCAACTCAGTACTGTTGTTAGTACAGGGTACAGCTTACGTACGTCCCATACTACAGCACTGACCGCTATGACGTTACACACCGTTAAGTGGTCTTGCGGATTACCGCCTACGTCACGATTCTGCGCGCCGCGTGCAAAATTCCAAAAATTATGACTCACTACGGACTTATAGCATAGGGAATCTTCCCGCTATCCTGATTGGTCGGATTTTATAATGTAAAATCGGCCATCATGACGTCACAATTATTTTAAATTTTGAATTAACTAATTTCCGAGATGGAAAAATTCGGAAAAATCGCAGAAAATTCAGAAAAATTAGTTTTACCGACCAAAAATTATTTTAGCCGGGGGAAAGTTATTCCCTTAATTTTCTAGAGGTTAGAGGAGGTTGAAAACCGAGGCTCAGAGGGTCTACACCGAGGCTCGAAGGTCCGGCCAAGTAAGGCTGGCTAACCCTATTTTTACCCGTAAAAAGATGTTTTAAGCCCGTTTTATCCGGGTGAAAATAAGTTTTAGCCGGCCAAATTACTTTTGGTCCGGTGAAAATGAAAATTGCCCGGCTATATCGGGTCTTATGAAGCTCTACGAGGCTTACCGAGGGTCAGTCGACCCTATTTACCGGGTGAATCCGCTTGTTCGTCCGGTGAATCCCGTGCTGGTAAAGTTGCGGGTGCCACTTAAGGCAAAGGCGACCCCGATTGATGAAGCTGCGAGGGTCCGCTGGGTCCGTGCCGTACGTTCTGTCCGGGGATCCGCTAATCGACCCGGGCAAAGTCCGTCCGATGGTCGTTTCCGCGAGGAACGTTCCGTCCACGCGCAAGAAGAGGGTCTGCCGAGGCTTTCTGCCCGCAAGAGAGAGAGAAGAGACCAGACCGTTCTGGCTGGCGGCAATCAGATGGGGATATGAACCTTCGGTTCTCCCCTGTCTTCTCGTCGGCCGTTACGGATGTAGGTCTACACCGGGGTCTCAGAAGGTTCGCAGAAGGAAAAACTCAACGATATGCTATCATGTGACAGCTGGCGAACAAAGGCTCACGATAGTGAGAGAAGGCTTTATTGTGATAGCAATAAAGTGAAGAACCAATATACAAAGGCTCGAGGTGCGAGCAGTATCGTGAAAGTACAGTGAATGATATGCTAGTGAAACAGAATGAACGGCATATCGAGCCAAAGCATGGGAAAAGCCTATGCGGCATACTGGGCAGATCCAACACGAGCGAACGAACGCTGATAGGCCGAGATGTGGAAGTGGGGCGTGGCTCCGCCTACATCGAGGCCGATGATTGACCGAGACGTAAGGCTGGGCGGAAAGCTGCCTGAGTCGAGGCTGATCTAGCGCTCGACAGCGAGTGCGACTCGGTGTGAGTCAGCACACCGGAAGCGGGACTGTCGCTGGCTGCCTGCTCGTAGGCTGCCATAGCGACTGGCCCAACACACAATACGTGATAATATGAGCTGAAGTTTATAGAAAATCGACAACTTTACTGTTTTGCGACACTCCAACGTTCCGCTTAAACTTGTCAAAATTAATTCATTTTTGTATAAAAGTTGAAAAGTGGGTAATAAATTGTAGAAAGCGCTGATATGTAATATATACAGTATACTTTGTAAGTCGTTGCTAAAAACTTGTCAAAAATCGCTTTTCACAATCGAGTAACAACTAGTAAACGACGCTCGCACTTCACAAGTTCTGTACAAGAGTACTGTAAATCAAAATCCATGCAAGTAAAGAGAAGTCGCCGCCCTGGTTACGTGTATATGGCAAGAGCTATAACTTGGGACATAATTTACTTACGCATAAAACCGAGTGTGACATTTTGCTGGGATAGCTCAAATTGTTAGATTAGTTTAGTTTTATAGTAATTTTTGTGCTGAATAACTTCTCTTTGATTGTACTTCAAAAAAACAAGTAGAAGAGTGTATACACGTTGAAATGTGGACTGCACTGGTGTTTTTCCCATAGACGCATATGCTTAATCTTGCGAAGCGTCTCATCTGAAATGACACAATAGAGCCGAAATCACACCTCATTAGCGATTGTGCCGTTGTCAATTGCTGGGATTATGACATCGGTATAGACGGTTTACGGGCAGAATGGAGACGACGAACGGCTCTGGATTACAATTTCTCCTACCCCCTTTAAAGCGGCGTACGTACGCCCTTGTTAGCCAAGTCTAAATAATGCAGTACGATTATTTTAACTTATAATATTATTGTATTATGGAAATATTATGCAGAAATATCGGCTGCTTGCTTAGCGACTTTCTGTTCTACACTAAACATAGAACATTATATCAAATATTTTGCAGCCTAATGAGTTCAGCGTAACAGCATACGCCCTCGTCCATACTTTGGCTCAGGTACAGTACGTATTCGACGGAAAACAAATTTATGTTGCATGTAGTTTATATTTTTAGATTATATAATAAAATAATTCACAAGCCTTACTGTTTACTTAAATTAATGCAAGATTGCTTTATTTGAGTATCGTAATTCGACCCTTACTCAGGCCATCAACGAAAGTATGGCGGCCCTAGAGGCACGATTACTTACCAAGCGTATCAACAGATGCACGGTTACTTACCAAGCGTCTACAAAGCCGGCAGTTTCTCTTTCCTGTGATTGGAGCATTCTGTATTGATCATTACGGAGAACGGCAAAATAAAGTCTGCGTCAATGCTTTCAGTACGGTGACGGGCGAGTTTGAGGTAAGAAGATCTTCAAATGGTTTCGGTTGCGCGCGGTTCATTTGACTCGCATCGAAACAGAGAAATATGATCTGTGACTTAACAAATTCCAAAGTCAGACCGATACCGGGAACGAATATTACGTGGGCAACCAAAACAGGTCTTCCTCCACCGAGTGCGCCGTGGTGCGGCTTTACCGGTGATGCTGAACGATGTCGAAAGCCAGGTTTGTAGAGAACTTTACACGATATATGCCTGCCAACCACAGCCTGTGCAACAACTTGTATGTAATGTCGTGCAAAAGAACAGACGTTCGTTCGGTCGTTGTTATCAACTTCCCTGACCACGACAAAGTCAGTAGAGCTACTCTTATCTCAACTCATTATGTAATTCACGGATGGAAAGTCCTAGATAGAAGATGAAGTCCTTGATGATGTGCAAAGATGGAAGACTGGAACCCAGAATCCCTGCTGAAAGCACGAAAGAAGAACAAGATGATGCGAGAAGTTATGCGTTACCTGTCCTACGCTAGATGGTAGCCAAAGCGTATGAGGAATCCATCAACCTGGCGCTACAGGGCATGAAGATCGAAGAAGAGACCAGAAGGTCACGGGATGCAAGTGGGAGCTAGTGGGTAACCTGTTACGCCACGAGACTATCCGAAGATGATAATGCACGTCTACGAAGTAGAGGAAAAACCCCTGACATAAGTGAAAGGTCATCAAGAGGTCAGTTAGCAGGATCCTCACTTGGAAATAGAAGACCAGAGCAAAAGCCTGAAGTTAATCAGATCGAGAACAAGTCTCTACTTTTGCTGGGATTACAACTCTGAACATTTCTGTGGCCGGCGAGCGCCTTATATAGTCTTGGGCACACGCAGGTGCGACTCTTCGTACGCGCAGGTACGGTTCTGAGAACAATAGGGATATAAAATCTAGCCAATACTCTACGATTACGTACACGTGGACTAATCAGAGGTCGCATCAACACAGCATAGACTGATCAGAGAAAAGGGTCAGCTAGTACAAGAGAACAATAGGTAAAGTTATGGCATGGACACGCGGTCACGTCGAAATGGCAAGTCGCGGTCAAAGTGCTCTGTTGGGAATTTCTCGGAAGCATCGACTCGGACTCGGGGTCATGACTCAAGCAGTCGTTGTAGTAAAGCCTAAGCGTAAGCCTCGGGGCAGAAGTAGTAAGGTAGTAGTCCGATGTATACTAAGGGTCGCCAGTACACGTCAGTAAAGCACTTTTGAGTCAACAGATTCTACTGTCGCGACGGTGACGGTTCTGGCAGTGTGTCTGCCAGTCCTCACGACGCTAGTGGCAATGGGATTTTATATGTACGGAACCTAACCAGTTATACTGCTGTGACAATTTTCAGATACCAGATTGCCTATTCTACTAGATAAAGTATTACGTTTATCTTGGTTCGGATCAGTAAAATATTTTTTTTTCTTTGAAAATATCAGGCATGAGCCTGCGCGTGGTGCTCCGCCCATATTGGCGTACTTGCACTCACTCACATGCCCATCTCGCACCTCTCTTGTACGTACGTGTGACGCTGCACTGCACTTATCCACTGAAATGGATATACCGCGTGCGCCACACTGAGCTGTACTTGCTCTCTCGTCCCTCTCTCGCAGCACCTCTCAGCGTTCATACGCTCGCGTTGGGTTGAGTCCAGTCTGCGCAGTCAAGACAGAGTAAATAGTGTAGTTAAAAGAAACCGTATTCCAAGTTAGGAATTACTGCGCATCTTTGGGGGCAAACAGCCACTCACGCACCCCAATGTTAGAAGGCCAGTTTTCCGCAGCAAACATCTTATCGGACTCATGAGCAAATGAACCAACACGAGCGAACAAACTGTTTTTGCCACCTTTTTTAGCAGTGTAAATAGACACAAATCGAACTGAGATCCCATTAGATTCAATGGCATTCTTGAGATCCTTGCTGTAGTCATCAAGTGTCTAGTGTCGGGTCTGATCCAAAGGAGGATGCCATGTAGGCAGAAGTCCTTTTTCTCTTTCTCCTTGTCAGTCTTGCTGGTGCGCTTCTGTAGAGTCGACATCACGATGTCTTCCCTGCAATCTGAACGGATGTTCCGCGTACCACGTACAACTTTTTTCTTTTTCGCAACTGTTGCCCAAGAGTCCCGCGTGTCCGGTGACTTGGAAGTAGGGCTGTCAAAACACAGGGGGCTGAGGGGAGTAACGGTACTTTCTTCGGGGTTTGACATGTTGCCTTGGGGGCTGCCAAGGGGAGGGAAGCTTTCGAGCTCGCTGGCGGGCGTCTTGGTGGCCAATCGAAACCCTGAGGGTTGAGGAGATAATCGACCACTTTCTACCGTGCCAGAGAGGGATGTTGCTTGGGTATCCGTTTGCATGTTGACTTTGTTACTTAGGACGCTTAACAAACAGGCAAACTCATCGTACTTTTTCTGGCTTTCCTGCAGCTCTTTGATTTGGGCTTCCATGACGGTGAGCTGGGATTTCAGGCGATGGTTTTCGTCTACAATTTCGGCAAGGATAGCAAGGACATGCTCACTCACGATCTTAGTAATCATAGGAGGAACCTCGGTTTCGATAAGGTCCGCCGCAGCGGAGTGCTGGCATACGTCGACCAAATCTCTTTGAATAGCTGGTACAAGCTTTCGCATCAATGGGATTAACTTGGCAAACGACCACTGGTTGGCTGGAGTGCCATCTGGAAACAGGCTGAGGAACGACTCAACTTGAAATCCAGTCAGTTCAAATTCCTCGGGTTTAGCAGTGGCTGATTCAGCCATGGTAGTCACATTGGGATTCCAAAGATCACAGGCAGCACAATTTACAAATTACAAATACTTACAAAATTACAAATTTATACGTAAGCCTGACCAAGTGCACTGTAACTTGTTAATGCATAACGCGCAGCAAGCGCAACATCACACAGATGATTCATCACATGGCCTGCATCACGCACGTGCTTGCCGCCAGCATTCTTTCACGTCGAGACCAGACGCTCCAGAACCTTCTAGCAACACGTTTCTAGATTTGGCAACGCGTGCCTTTGTTCTTTCTTCCTGCTATTACGCAGTATTTGTCAGCCTTTATTGTCTAATAAAGACGCATCGTGAGCTCCTCGCCATAGTCTGTTCAAAAGATAAACTTTTTTTGCATTTTGTAAGTAAAATTATCTGACGAACTGTTATCGACCGATAATGAAACAAAACATTTGAAGAATCACATTTTATTTAGCAAACATCGAATCCAAAGAATGCACGATTTTTGGTGGAAGATGCCGATTGACAGACTTGCAGACATCCAGGTAAATCTTCAGTGCCTTACTTTTTACATGTAAACAGCTTTTTTGAATTATGCATTGCAGTTTAATATTGCCTAATGCTGTACTCGTATAATTATAGGCAATTTAACTAACTATACAGTTTTTGTTTGCACAGGCGATACCACATTTAAAATCGCTAAACCTACGAAATGTGAATTCTTTCGCCGGCAAGTGCTTAATGGTACCCGAAGAGCAAATTCTATGGGTGCGGAACTCTGGAGTTCCTCCGAACGCGCCGTTCCCCGACCGGAAATCGCTTTATGCGCTACGGAAGGTACAATCGTAAAAAAAGGCCCATGAATGTCGGAAATCAGTGCTTTGGCGTTTGCAGCTGCGGGAGTTCTCGCATCCCAATGTCGGACTGTTAAACGGTATTATAGCAACTGATGGCAGATTACGGATGGTAAACGACTTTGCCAAAAAGGGAAGTTTAGCCGATATTTTGAAGACCACAGAGATGCAAGACCCGGATCTGAGAATCAGCTTAAGGCCATGGCTATTTTGGCTTTAATGCCAAATTTTTTTTCCCGTAAAAACTCCGACGTACTAAACGAAGACTTCTTTATCAGCCGGAAGAAAGTTCAAACCTATATCATCAGTACGCTTCGAAATATGAATTTATGAAGTGCAGTATGGCTTAGTATGCGATCTAAAGTGTTCGCTACTGCATCTAATGACTGGCTCGGCTTACCATTACGTGAGTAGTTCTAATCAGACCTGGGTAAAGATTTGGCTGATGTTTTGTCTGAAGTGGGGCACAACGCTCCGTTGCGCGCCCGTGAAAGATAACGCGAGTTAGTCACCACAACATTCTCAAGCCGAAAGCTAACGGCTGCGCTTATTGGTCCGCTACGTGATCCACAGATGAATTACAAAACGGAGCTTCGAGGCTGCGTTTTCTATTTCACACACACTTTCACCTCCGTTGCTCACCAGGTCAGCATAGCCAACACCGGCCCAACAGAGCTTTATGTACTAGTACACAGTGGTCACCCGTAACATAAGCGTTTTATTTAGCTAATTACAATATTAATGTGATTGAGTATTAATCTGGGTTAGTGATTAGCCCCATTAGCTTAAACGTTGCTATTGGTACTAGACTGATTGCTAATTTAGTAATTACGATTATTACTTAATTAAACCAAGTACTATTATTCCTTGTTACGAATAATATTAGTAAACTATTATTAACACTGTTGTTTAGGTTGCGTTACAGCTTAATTAAGCTTAATTACTTTAATTAATTACGCTGGGTAATTAGTTGAGTTACACTGAGGAATTACATTAATCAGTTAAGTTACCAATTATTTATTATCAAAATTACCATCAAGCATGCGAATTAATATGCGTATGGCTATGCGGTTTTGCATTTGTGTTTATGCAGAACGATTCACTTAGCAGTCAGTGCTAGCATTTCATCTGCTGATCCACTGCTTATTACTGGTCCAGCGCACTCTCATTTTTTGCAGTGCGTCATCCATAAATGACGCATACTGCTTTCACAATTTATTTCGCGATATCTTTCTCGAGAAGTTTAGCTAGGATTGATCGGGCCTAGTATATGCAAGTTAGCGAATATGTGATATGAAGTCAATGGAAGCATAAATTTGCGATCTACATCTTTTGTCATACCGAGCCATAAAACGTCGCTGGACATCGGTAGAATGAAAGCAAACACAGAAAGACAATAGATTTTGATCACACGCAAGTGTGGCTGAAGCGGATACTCGGCTGTCCGGATAGTCTCTGTGGCGGGATGCATGTGGTGAGTGGAATAAGCCAACATGTGCACAGGAGACATAAACTTGCTTGAACTTTCGAGAGGTGCCGCTAAAAATGCAGCCAAATAACTTTGAAAATTAACTTCTAATTTCGGAGTTATACGACTTTTTCGAAACTCGGGCAACAACTGCAAGAACATCTCAAAAGCTTAATTGCGAGAGCGAGTTTAAAAATATTCGGTTTCACTTGAGTTATAACGATAACCAGCAATTGTAAAAGTGTTTTTTAAAGGCGGCGAATTTAAAAATTTGTTTTTTGAAAAAAGCCCTCGCAAGGTGCAAGAGGACCGTGTTCTGGATTTTGTGGATGCTTACGTGGAATTTTCCCACTAGTGTGTGCAGACTAGTTACTTTTTTAGTGGAATTATTTTATATCAAATTTTAAACTGCATCGTTTAGGTTGCGTTTGGACTGATTCGTACTGAATTTTTCTTAATTTTCACTGGATACATAGATAGACCTAAATACCATGTACGTTTCGAAGCAGAAGGAAAAACTACTCATTTCAAAACGATTAAAACCAAAATAGCCATGGCCTTAACGGGTGACATTATCAAGGTACATAAAACAAGTACATGTCGTATTTCATGGGATTTCTGAGTGTCCATTACTAACACTAACACTTTTCTGGCAAACAAACCGTTTACAAATTAACGGATGTATCACGTATGATACATGCAATATGTTTATAACACCCCAATTACCCTTTTCGGCAATGAAGAAACAATTTATATTAATGTGTTTGAAGGGATTGTATGCCATCCATCATATTCTTCTCTGAAACGACATGGGCTCCTCCATCCAAAGAGATGTCTGGTTATAAGCGCTTCGTTTTGCAAATCTCCGGGCTGGCACACATAGACATTGTAAAAGACATTAGCCAGGAAAAGGACATAAGCTACGTTGCCCCCGAATTGCGAGGGCAAAGCATGGATTTGTGGAGCCGGTCAACAACTTCAGCGATATCTTTGTATTTTTCAGTATATTATGTAATCTGGCTGCTGCTACCCGAGTACACGTACCAAGGTGCTACAGGATTTAACAATTTTACCGCACAAACACGTGAGGACTGATTCCTTTTGGTTCAGTAACAGCAAAGCGCTATGATGACTTTTTTTTATCTTCCAGAAGAACACAGTAATATTTCTCCAGCAGTTGCTGCTGAATTTCAGTCACTCATAGCCAAATGCCGGGAAATTGACCCCGGTCAACGACCAACGATAAGTGTCATTCGAAGAGTGTTTTCCAGAATGTTTAATACCGGCAAAAGAAACCTTACCGATAACATTCTTCAACGGTTGCAAAGACACGCGCTTCAGCTGGAAGATGCAGTTACGGAGCGAACCCATGAACTTGTTAAAGAAATCGACGCCAGTCAGACCCTGCTGAGTGAACTGCTTCCAAGGTATGGGCGATACACTAACTTATAATAACACTCTCCAGCCGTAGTAGTAATCGTTCATGCAGATGATGCTTTCAGACAAATTGTCATACGGCTGAAAACTGAGAAAACCATCCAACCCGAACATTTCGAGTGCATCTCCCTGATGTTCTCGTACACTGTTGGCTTCGCTGAATTTGTTATCGACAAACACAGATTATCCTTTGTTAATAATCAAATTCCTGGATGAAATGTTTCTATCGTTCGACAACATCGTGGGTCGCTATGATGCGTACAAGGTGGAGACTATCAATGACAGTTATATGGTGAGTCAAACGCGCAGTTTCGCCGTACAACAAAGTACACCGGTTTAATATACCGTTGAAGCAGACTAAATTACAATTATCTCTACGTGTACCAGATAAACGCAGATTTGCTAGTGTAACGTGCAAGTAAACAGGGAATGGCAAGTAGCACAATTATTTCTTCGAAAACCATTTTAGGATGCCAGCGGTGTACCAGAGCGCAATGAAATACGTCATGCCCAAGAAATCTGCTTTTGCGCTCAGGGATTCCGAAAAGCTTTTCCAGAAATTGCCGGACGCATGCCGCATAGTTTGAGCGTAAAAATAAGAATAAATACCGGTATCTGTAATTAATAGTGATACAAAAACGCCAACGTCAAAAAATAACCGCCTAACTGGTTGTAGGACCATGCGTCGCCGGAATTGTCGGTACAACGCGACCACGATACTGTTTGTGCGTTGAGCGCGGCGATAGTGCTATGGTTACTGTAGCCGCCCGCACAAGTTAGACCACAGAGTCGGTATACGGGAAAAGAGCGTAGCAAATATACCTACTCTAACCGGGCAAAATGCACGGCTTTTTGACTACGTTCTCAGACGTTCTAATAATTTTTAAATTCACAATTTCACTGAAGAGACTGTGTTTTCTAGTATTAAAACTTAAAGGAAGCAAAAAAATTTAGAGCTCTGATCATTTTGATGATAAACTTGATTTGTTGTGGTTTTTGGGGTGCCCCTGGCTGGGCAGGGGTGAGTTAGCGTTGCACCAGGGAGCGTTACTCTGTACGGGGATGATTCTTGCGAGATGCAGTACGGAATAATTCCAGGAAAATAATAAAGAAAACGAAGAAGTCGTGATTTTAATTTCAGTCACTCAGTTTTCCAAGAAAAAATAATCACTGACAATCAAATGGTTGCTTGGTACGGCAGCCGTGCATTTTGCCCGGTTAGAGTAGGTATATTTGCTGTGCTTTTTTCCCGTATACCGACTCTGTGGTCTAACTTGTGCGGGCGGCTACAGTATTGGTTGCTTCACGAGTAGCCGCAAATAATATTGACTGGACCATCCAAAACAGCCAGACCACAAAAGATTTAATTGGACAGACGGCGCTGTCAAGTGTTTTTTAAGGTGACCTCTCTGTACTTACGCTTGCGTTCTTGTTCTTATACACCGCTCAAATGGCAAGCATTCACATACTGCATGCTTCTCTTCAGCAGTGCTTGTAATAAATTCTAGTAACGATAATTCTACCACCATATAGCCTACACCATAATATTCTGCTATATGAAGTTCCACTGTATTACTATTTCTGCTATCAAGGTAAAGATCTATATTACAACGGAAAACCCCGTACGATCTGGTCAGAACAAACCAAAAAATTAAGGCTATGGCTATTTTGCCGCAGTATAACAATAAGGGTCTGAATAGCCCTCAGGCTATTTTGCCGCACACTGCGCCGGAATAGCCAGTTGGCTATTTTGCCGCACTATGGTGGGCGAAACAGCTTGTTGGCTATTTTACCGCACATTGCGTTAAAACAGCTCGTTAGCTATTTTGCCGCACTACGGACGGCAACAGGATAATTATAATAAGGGACACTCGGTAATAAAGGGCATCTCTGCCAACATAACCCGCACTAGTTATCGGTTCCCTCGACATCAGAGGCTAACATCTAGCACGGGCAATTTTTTTGGATTCGCTATTTCTTAAACAAAGTGTAACGAGCGTGCGAGTTACGCTACGAGTTTGGATACTTCGCTTTTACCATTATTTCGAACACTTGCGCTGTATGGATCAATAAATCGGACACTGGGCCGAATTAGCAGCCACTCTAGCGGGCGACTACTTGAGCAGCTAAACTTGCCGACTGAAATGCCAAGCATTTTTTACTGTAATCTGCGCAATGAAGTTCAAAGCGTGAACAGAACAGTCAGAAACTTAGAACCTGCTGCTCTCTCATGCATAGTAGTTTTTTATGTTGTCTCATGCATTGAAAATTATTTATGGATTTGCGGTGACAACTTGTATGTATACACGGAATCTATACATACAAACAAGTGATGTAGAGACCGCACAGAAATGGGATTTGTATGGTTCACAACGTCACCGTGACGTCGCTTGTTTGTATGTATCGATTTCGTGTATAGATGCAGTTTGTCACCGCAAACCCACTGTTATAATTATTGTCTACTTTGCACTTACTCACTATTACTTACTCATTTAATTCAGTATTTCGAGGTACACCGCAAGTTACTTTAGCATAGACGAGACAATAGCCATTGTCGCCTTCGCCCCAGGTGCACCTACGATCAAAATTCGATGACTGGATTCCATTAGACTGGAAAGTAATGTTGGTGTTGTTTGAAATTTAAGCAGAAGTAAGAAATGTTTTTTATATATAAGAGATTTTTATCAAAATAATTTTGTCCGCCATAACAAACTAACACGAGACAGATATTAGTCATTCATTGCGACATTTGCGTAGTGCACGTCTGTAACCATCCAAAACGACCGGCGATCGTTTTGGAGGGTTACACACATCTGTAGCCAGCTGACACTTTAGTCCAACCGCACTTAACAAAACGGACGGAACAACACCCGGACACGCATGGACAGCAGGCTGAAGAAGGGCGAGCATCACACACATGCTCGGCAACAGGCGTCCCGGTGGACATTGCGGACCAAACCGAGCCGGTAAACGCACAATCCGGAGAACGGGTAGCGGATACCGCAGTGGGTGGATCGTAACCCGGCACGGCAACCAGATCACCAGGCCTGGATGGAGTGGACCAGCTTATATCAACGGTCACTCGGCAGAGTTCGACCGAGAGCTTAGTCGACCTCTTGACGGGCGAGTCGACCATACCGTCGCCGGTCGACACTATTCGAGCCGGATTTGTTCCAGTGTCTCTAGTAAACAGCAGCCCGGAATCGACACCGAAGGCGGACAGAGCTCGACCTGAACGAACTGGTACTTCAGCCGCCGGAAGGACAGCAGTTCCAAAAACTTAGCTGGCCGATGGCACGATGGCACGATTAACGGACAATCAGCATATCTGGGAGTACAGTTAGCAGCCGTCTAGGACAAGATCGACCGGAAGAGGGCAACCTTGGCGAAACGGGTGGACACTTTCGCGACCGAGGGCGTCTACCTTAGGAAGGAGTGCAGCAAAAGAACCGAAGCGTCAGAGATGCTACAGCGACAGCTTCGGACGGCAACACAAGAAGGGACGCGTGTGTTACGACCAAGACATCCGGCGGACGTTTTGGTCGTTAAACCGAAAAAACCCTCCTGGGGGCCAAAAAAACGTCCGCCGAAAATTTTTTTGCGTTCACGATGCGACCAAAGCACGGGATTAAAACGACGTTCCCGGCTGTGCCGTTCCCGGGTGTGCCGTTCCCGGGTGTGCCGTTCCCGGGTGTGCCGTTCCCGGGTGTGCCGTTCCCGGGTGTGCCGTTCCCGGGTGTGCCGTTCCCGGGTGTGCCGTTCCCGGGTGTGCCGTTCCCGGGTGTGCCGTTCCCGGGTGTGCCGTTCCCGGGTGTGCCGTTCCCGGGTGTGCCGTTCCCGGGTGTGCCGTTCCCGGGTGTGCCGTTCCCGGGTGTGCCGTTCCCGGGTGTGCCGTTCCCGGGTGTGCCGTTCCCGGGTGTGCCGTTCCCGGGTGTGCCGTTCCCGGGTGTGCCGTTCCCGGGTGTGCCGTTCCCGGGTGTGCCGTTCCGGGTGTGCCGTTCCCGGGTGTGCCGTTCCCGGGTGTGCCGTTCCCGGGTGTGCCGTTCCCGGGTGTGCCGTTCCCGGGTGTGCCGTTCCCGGGTGTGCCGTTCCCGGCTGTGCCGTTCCCGGCTGTGCCGTTCCCGGCTGTACGTAGCATACCAGCTGTTAACGGGACCTTGATCCAATAGGCTACGTCACACTATCCGCTACAGAAACGGTATTCGTACGGTACGAGCAAAGAACTCCCGACGGTGGAGCCTGGACCCGACCAAAGCTGAAAAGCCCCGGAAGTGTGGACGCAGACTCGGATCAACCGAGAATACCCCATACAGGTCCGGGAGCCAGTGATCCCAGGTAATCACGATTTCTTACCGGACTGGATATGTAGCCCGAGATGCCGGCTGTTAGTGAGACCCTCACGCGGAGTGACGTGGTGGTCGGAAGTGAACCTACGAGCTTTGCTCGGATGAAATCGTAAAATACAGCGCTACAACTAACAGGCTTGTTGCAGATCGCTCCAGATGGGCATTTTCGTGCAGCCTGTTTGCTCCAGTTTATTGATTTCTCAGTAAAACTGTTCATAATCGTTAATCGTTAGCCTCTATGTTGTGCTGCTAATAACAGTACTGAAAGCTGGACTAAAACCTTCGACGCATGGTTGCTTTGAAAATAAATTTAATTTTGAGTTGGAGTGTCTAGGTGCTCTGTAACGCTCTGTAAGATTCTGTTTCAAGTAAGTAACGCTGTTTTACAGTACAATTTACCGTATTGAAAGAGCGCATTGAAAGTATGCGGCGACGGGCGAGACAGGCTGCAGTAATGGTGTGGCAAAATAGCCACCTGACTATTTTGCCGACCATAGTGCGGCAAAATAGCTGAGCAGCTATTTTAAAGCAGTGTGAGGTAAAATAGCCAACGAGCTATTTCGCCCACCCTAGTGCGGCAAATAGCCAAATGGCTATTTAGCCGCAAATACTGCGGCAAAATAGCCACTTCGAAAAATTAATCGAAAAACTGCTAACGCCATTCGATTCAGCGTGTCTGGAAACTGTGTCACATGCATTTTATTTTGGTAATTATCCGCTCTGGCTCCCGTTACAAGTGCCGGTGCCGGTAGAGCTGAAAGCTCAAGGTGACCTTGAAAACAATTTCAAAGTCCGGTTGCATAGTGCACAAAATCAGTAAATTTAAACTGGCCGTACTTTTTCATATCAACAAATTAGAAAGGTTTTACTGTAACTCCTACAAAGTTAAAAAAAGCCAATTAGCAGTAACACGGACGATGCTTCTAGTGGATGGCTGCGTTTCAATAAACCGTTAACAGTTTAAAGCGCTCAAAAACATGACTAAAGGATAAGACCGCTCGTTAAAAGCCATTTAGCTGTGACTGCGACCAAAAAAAATCGTTCAAACAGGCTGACCAATTTTCTTCCGTTCGGCCTGAGCCGCTGCTGCGCCGGCTTGCGTGGATGTTGCTGCGATATGTGATAAGGCCATCGTACACACACATGTCACATCCCATGTTAACATCTTGCCTCGTTCCCATGGCACTAAGGTGACTCCGTCTGGGCGTCTGCCGTTGGTTCGCGATATACCCAAAGGCTCGAGTTCAGTCTCAATGGTGGCTGAGGCGAAGGCTCGTTTGAGCGTGGCGTTTAAGCTGCTGTGTCGTGACTTCCGGCCCCGACTTTTCTTACAGCTCAAGCCGTGGTAGCCTCGTGCGTC